TTCAAAAATGAAGAATATGATAAAACAATTCATCAAAACAATGAGAGAAATTATAAATTATTAATATTTATATATATATATATTTTTTTTTATTTAATCAATAAAAATAGTAATAAAAATGATTATTAAATTTTAAATTAAAAACGAAAAATATTGAAAATCATAAATGATTCTAATTCTTTACCAAAAACTGTAGTATGCATTGTACAATAATAAATTTTTCGTTTGAAATAATGAGATTCCAAGAAAATATTTATCTTTATAATTTTTATAAACGAAATAAAATTTACAATTAATGTAATTTCTAACAAACCTTACAGGGTGAAAAGTAGTCAAGCATTGCACAGAACGTTTAACGTGGATCCATTGTATTTGAAGCATGAAAACTCAGGTAACAGAATCGCATTTGATATTACGTATTAAATCAAATGGGATATTCTATTAAATAAGACATATTTTATCTACTTACAGGTCTTGCTATTGATTACATGGTATACAATCATATAAGTTCGATAGATATTATCAGTCTTACTAATGAAATCATTTCATGATGTATACGATGTACATATAAATTATTTCTTATTTATAATTTTAGCACTGGCAAATCCCATTGTCAAAGAGATTCAGAGCATTGAAATTGTGGTTCGTCATTAGAAATTACGGAATCACTGGCCTTCAGAAGCATATTCGCGAGGTTTCTATTACATCATAACTTTCTGCGTTTTAAAAAAAAATTGTGATTATATCCTGCTATTGCCCCTTTCTTCGATTTTCGTTCGTTCCCATCCCATTTTTAAAAATATATCGTGTCGCTAAATATAAGTAATATTTTCAATATTTTAAATTCATTCTTCTATAATTTCTTTCAAATATTCAATAATAAATTTCAGGGGGTAAGACTGGCACAAAAATTCGAGGCCCTAGTTTTGGCAGACGCACGCTTCGAGATTCCAGCAACAAGGCATTTGGGGCTGGTTGTGTTTCGCCTTCGAGGAGAGAACAGTTTGACAGAACGTTTGTTAAAGAAGATGAATTCGAGGGGTCGAGTGCACTGCGTTCCAGCTGCTTTGCATGGAAAATACGTAATTCGATTCACCGTCACTTCGACCAAGTGAGTGCCTACGATTTTAATAGAAAATCGTACGATAAAGAAAACAAATTTTCCTTTGAAAAAATTTATTCTTGAACTTCGATCCTAGCACGACCAATGAGGATATCTTGAGAGACTGGGCCGAGATACGAAATACAGCGAATGAAATTTTGGATGATGACACGATTTCACCTGTACGGGCAAAAGTTCCACTTGCAGGTAACAAAGAAAGAAATAGATTGATTTATTAATTTCTTCGATTTTTAAAATGTAGATATAAATATTGTGCATGCATATTGTACGCCATTCTAATATATTGTATCAAGTAGAAATTTTTTTTTTTTTTTATTAAAGATACAATGTTGTTCTAGAATTGAAACGTATTTTAGATTTTGAAGCGTATAAACAAATTTATTTTTTTGTATTTGTATCATTTTATTCAAAATTATACAAGCTAAATAATTGATAAGAATAATAATAAGCAATTTTATTTCTAATCACTTTGTTTTGTTTTTTCTCTCTTTCTCTCTCTCTCTCTCTCCCTTTTCTCATAAAAATGCATGTCTATAATTTTTGGAACGCAGAAAGCTCAGGTAAGACGAGTTTCCAAATACTCACGTATTTGATTTTCATGTTTTTAATTTTATATCTTAATGTTTTTTTATTTTTCCAATTATTGCAGTACAAAGGAGTACAAATGTTAAATTTACGATACGATGTTATTGAGTTAAAAGTTTTAATTTTCAGACACACGAGAAAAGAATGAAAATTTTGGTACAAGTTTGTTATTGGCTAATTCCCCAATGTCACCGAAAATCGTAAATGGCAGCTTTGCTGCAATATACGATACTGCGGACATATTCGAGGAATGCACGAAGGCTTTTGGCCAATTACGACTCGAAGCTAGAGACAGTCCAGGTATAAATAAAATCCAATCTCTCTTCCTTAATTCGAATGATAGATAACTTCTAATTCTGATCTGAAGCCATGCGTCGTCGAATTCGAGGAATACTTATGTCAGGAAAACAATTCTCCCTGGATTCCCGTATGGATCTCGTACAGGTGATGAAATAAGATAAAATATTTTTTTCTTTAATGCTTTACGTTAATAAAAATTAATATACTTTTAAAAGAAAAAAATTTTTTTTACAACTATATCAACTATATCAAATTATCGATTACTTTAGGGCTATGCTTGTTGCCGTCCAGCTATAGAAATGGCCACTGAATTGCCACTACAAGAGGACGAAGATGTTGGAATCGCCGAAACAAGATCCGATGCTAATCAATCCAGCAATGGTAAGTACAATATATAATTAAAACCTACAAAAGAACAATTGTCTCTAACAATCTCTCTTCTTATGTGCTTCAGATGATCTCGATGAACGTTCAACCGGCCAACAAAAGTTGGAGGATATTACCGAGAAAACGGAAAAAACGTTAAAAAGGCAAACATCCAAGTCTCGCTCGAACTACGCCGTGAATGGTTCCGTGAAAATCGGTTCTCAAGACTGCTCGAATACTCTTACGTCCATGTTGTCGACAGAAGGTAATCTGCCAAGGAGCGAAACAATAGCCGCGATCGGTCATCGTTCGTACGCCGACGATTTATCGATGATGCAAAGCGAGAATCTTTGTAAAGGGGATAACGTAGAGAACGTGACTGTCTGCAGGAAATGCGGCCATTGTATGAAAAATAAAGAATAAAGAAATTAGCCGAATAAAACGTAACTGTTATCGCGACTGTGTGTACATTCCTTCATTCGAATGGAATTCTATATTCTTCAGATTTAAACACTACCAATTGTTGAAGAGAAAGTAATCAACCGCGATAATAAATCTGAATTTACCGTCTGAATCCTATTTTTCTATGTTTCTTTCATTTCTTCTCCTCTTTTTACTCTTTCATCAAGATTTTATACGTAAAAATAGATCGAAAAAAGGAATGGTATTTTTTTTTTTTTTTTGTTTCTTTAAAGTTTCGTCTTCAAATAAATCAAGTTCGAGGACATTCGAGGACATGTCATGGTGTATAAAAGGAAAAATTTGATAGAGATTTTTTAATCGAAAGGGACAAAAAACAAGTACACAAAGAATAAGTGATATATAAATTTTATTGTATTTTCTGATACGATATGACAACAAATCTGACCAATAGTAGGCCACATAGTTTACTTTCATTTCCAATCTTTGGAAAAACGTATCACGAGCGCAACTCGGTCTAATTCTTTTTTTTTTTTTTTTTTTTTTTTTAACAATTCCTTCCCTTCGCAAAAATTCTTTCATCGTTTAATAATTAATTCACGTGAGGAAAATATATCATTTTGATATAATACATCAATAATTTTCTTCTTATCTATAAAACAATATAAAGAGAAAAGAAAAGCTTATATATACACATAGATATATATTTTCCTTCATTGAGACACGTCAACAAAGTATCGCTTGTTTTGATATCTGATATTCGCATTATATCTCGCATTTAACAATTAAATCGCGACTCATATATATATACCATTTTTAATCGTATCAACAATTGTTAAATTACAATATGCCCTTACAACTTTCTATCACCTCTAATTTCTGAACACGTTTCTTCTATGGCGTTTGTAACGATCCATATACTGTTCATTAATCTTTAACTACAACTGGAACAATCTACTATATCGCATCATTCTCGATTAACTCGTTCAGCGTTTCAAAAAGCTCGCATGGATAAATAACATTTTGTTCTAAAATATTCAAAAAAATATCTATATCATTACGCGTCTCTATATAATTTTTTTCACATTTTTTTGAATCACGCGAAAATTTATAATATATCCCGTATTGGAATATATTTCTGTTTAAAAAACAATCGATGATGATGAGTCCAATTCTTTTTTTTTTTATTTTCCAATTTGAATTTCCCTCTTAATTTCGATTTTACGAGAATCATCATTAATCATTTTCTTTCCATTAGACGGATCTCTTAATACTTAATACTACGTGCTCGAAAATACTGACTCGAATGCGGCTCATATTGTTTTATAGCTAAGCGTTGCTTAACGCTATCCCATGATAACCGCTATCGTAAATTTGGTAAAAAAATTAACAAACGCTAGGGCAAGTAATTTAATTTTCGCTCTCGTTTAAAGTGAGAAAATGAGATGATGAGCTTCTTTGCTAAGCTCGATGTATTTCGTATCGTTAAAATTTTTTACTAATACTGACATTGTTTAAAATATATGTACGCTATATCAAAATCAACTCTCGATTAAATTCTCTTAATTATTCATTCATCGAGAAATTATATTACTATTACTCCGTAAGGGCAACGATATGTGCATCGAGAAAATTTATTGTATCACTCTATCACCTGCGATTTCTGATTCCTATCTTCCCGTTAAGAAGATGATAATTCACGATAATTCTAAATGTACATTTTATTCTGTAAAAAGAAAAGAACGTTAATCTTTTGTCACATTGTGAAAATGTAACAAACGAAACAAGCTTATCATCCGCTTAATTATCTACGTTTGTTTAAAAACAATATTAATAATGTCTAACTTAATTAATCAATCCTCGTCACGATTAAAATATATATATATATATATATATAAAGGTTATACAAGCAACAAAAATAAACGAATATTCCATTTCACTTATGAACTAGATATTCATCTCTTCACTCTTTATAAACATTATTATTATCATTCGAAACAACAATAATATAAGAAACTCATATGCGTTAAGGCAACAATCGACGAGCTTGAAACGAAAAATATCGTGTCCGTATGGAGCTAACTAGGGAACAACGAAATCACGTGCCAAAAAGTATAATCGAAAAACGCTACTTTACCATCGAAACATCATTTCATGCCATCGTATATAATAATAATAATAATAATAATAATAATAATAGATAATATCAAATCTTTTTTTTTTTAATAAAATCAACTGAACTGATACATGAACGAAGAGCCAACAAGTGATAAAGAAAAAAATAAAAAATAAATAAACATTTCGGGGCAACGATCATCACAAAATCGATACACATCGATACACGTGGAGAGACATAAGGGAGGATTGTTGACACTTGCATCGTAAAATATATATATATTGATCATACGTCATTCAATTTATGGCCAATGTTCATCATCAAAACATCGAGATAAAAAGTGTTTCAGAGCGTATGTGATATATAAGATTGGCATCTTATCTTGGCGCAATCGTAACACATCGATCTTTGAACAGAGACAAATTTTTGTGTGTGTACATCGAATAAAATGATATCACCTCGATTCTTATGCAAGCACTTGGATTATTAGCTTTTCGTGTAAACAGGCGGGTAAAAAAAAAAGTATCGATCCCATTGTGTCATTTTTTTGTTCTCATTGCCGAAAACTGAAACAGTCTCGATCGAGGTGAACGGAACTCTGATGCCTGACGTTCTGAAACATTGTTAAAAGTATTCATTGTTAGAAGTTACAAAGAAAAACTGTACGAAAAAAAAAAAAAAAGAAAAGAAATTTATTTCATTCGTCTAAATAAAATAGAATTCTAATTATTTAGAATCCAGTTCAAGTTCGATCGAGCTGTTTAAGATTCGGCTCAGCGCATCCGCCATTACTTCGCATGGTAGTATATATAGTTGTATCGGTAGCGTTACGTGGATACTTTCCAGCTGCGAGGCCAAACTTAAAAATGGAGATTCACTCGTGTCACATGCTGACGTCAGTGTTGTCATTGCTGCTCCCCTCTCCTGCCTGTCGCATTCTTTTCTACTTCATCATGCTTTCGCATTTTTTTTTTTTTTAATCTTGATAATACGAAAATCAAATTAGAAAATCGGATTGGGGAAGAGGGGGAAAGAATTCGTTTCAAATTGGAGGAGAAAAGAAAAGAAATTCTCTTTACGCACAGAAAGAAAGAAAAATATATATCGGTACGGTTCTCTGCGTTTCAACCAGACCAATACCTCCCTTACCAGATTCTTACACATTCTCAACACAATCATCTTCGATCTTCCATATTCGCTCCAATCCATAGAAGATGCTAGTGGATCGGTCGCGCAATGACAAACTGGAAATAAAAAGGGGCAGACGGATAGAAGAGAAACGCATAAGTGAAATTAAAAATTGTAGAGAATAGAGAATAATAGAGAGTAGAGAAGGTAGCCTCGCAGCCGCGCGTGCGACAATGAACAAATGACGCGACACGAGCCGCATGGCTTGCCAGAGAAACACCGGTTAGCTCGCTTTTAACTCAAGCAAGCACCGAAGCTTGTTTGGCAAGAGGCTTCACACACAGGAAGCCTCTCTGTGAGGACATGCGCGTTCAACTTGGCCGTGCCAGCCATATCCTGGAAACAGCAAGATATGTAACCGTAATCGCCTTTCGGACGATTGGCGTGGGTCTTAAAGCTGATCTCGATTCGAAAAAATCGAACGAGTCCTTGGTCGTCTTTCTTTTCGTCGATCGAGCTCTTCGCTGCGTGCGCTGCATAATAATGGAGTCATGGCGCGATACAAGGACCCTTTACAACCCGACTTCCGGAAAGCCTGAAAGCGCGCCGCCCCTCACTTCCGCTTATTCGATTAAAACGATGGCGTGGCACGATCGAAGCTGAAGGCCCACGTTGTGCTTTTTCCGTTAGTTCGATCTGCCTCGCGTTGCATTCGTCGGGGTGGAAGGTTTTTGTGTTACAGAGGGTTGTTCTGTTTCGGAGCCGGGCCTCGTCGGGGATACAGACAAATCTGATATCTCTGATATATCTCTGATATTCGACATATATATTTATATATATATATATATATATATCGTTGTTAATTTTTCATGATTATTTTCTCGAAAATGAAAGAGAGTTTGGAAATGTCTGTTTCCTATTGGAAGCAACGACTACGGGATACCCAGATTTTTCGCAGAATCACTAATAACAGATTCATGCAAGTGTCATGCAAGGTGTTTTACTGCGTTGCGACACGAAAGTCGCGGGACAGAGGAAAATAAGGGGCGAGGGGCGATACATGACGACGATAGGTCTGGACAATTTCGATTGAGCAAAGGTTTCACGTCCATGGGGAGGGGTTGTCGTTTAAGTTTCCTCTGCCGTGACTTTCAAACCACACTGTTACTGAAAAGTGCTACAGTTCCATGCTCGAACTTCTCTTCCTTCTACGTGTGGAAACGCTTTTGTTAGATATGTAGTTGCAGAACTCACTAATACTACCGTGTCGTACCGTGCGCGTGTGCCGTTCCACGATCAATTCGTCATTATTGAATTAAAACACTTGAGTCAATTATTAATCGATCTTGATTTCTTTAACTGTTATCAAATTAAAATATATCAATTCTTTGTTGAGATTTTAAGATATCGAAATAAGAAGTAGATATAATAATTGCAATACTTATTAAAGATTGTTGAGACGAGATGAAAAATATTCGAATAGTTAAAATGAACAGATGTTGAATCGAAACTTGATCGAGAAACGTATTGATCGAGAAAGTTACACGCGCTCGATTCCAACAACTGGAAAAACGTAGAACAACTCGAAAAATCTGCTGGTGTCGATCCTCGCCGGCTCCAGTCGTTGCTTTTCTCACGATGTTGTTCTCAGATGGGCATGCGGCCAGATCGTGGTGATCTACTTATAAGCTCCATGGGCCATTCCCGTTTCGCTAATTTTTTATGCACGGCGCGCAAAACATCAATGTCTCGTAAAAGAAATGGCAAATGGATAAACACATAAAGGGGCAATCAGTGACGAAGAACCTTAATGCAGGAATTATTGTGACACGTGATGATAAGAAACAACGTCGAAAATGTTGATCATACTTGTACCAGAAATTTGAATGAATGATTAAAGCTGTTTAAAAGAGAAACTCTTTAAAAGAGCATCATCTCATCTCTTTAAAAGAGAATCGAAATCTTGTACAAAAGGATCTCCAATTTGTCGTACTCTTCTTATCAAAATTTTGGAATTTTTTAAATTTTTGAAACGCGTTTGAAACCTCCCTTCCAAAGTTTAATATTCTCCAACATCGTCGACGTCTGTTCGCAAATACGGACGTTCATCGCGTCTGTTTCTTTCCCTCCGCGTCACAATTCGTTTCATTCTTCGCCACTTGAACAATTCTGTCTGGAAAAAGTCCATCATTCCCAGTGCAAGGTGTGCTCACAATGGGGAAGCGGTAAAACGTGTGAGATAAATATAGCTATTTGATATACACAATAAACTCCTATGATCTTGCAATGATCGAACAACGCTGCAAACACTGTACCTACTGTATCTTTTTTTTTTCTTCACACTCGCTCGAAATCGAAAGTGACGAATCTGCGGATACATGGAAACAGATACATTGAACAGAACGGCAAGCCAGCGAGAGAACTTTGAAATGAAAAACATTCCAAAAATATCACGACGAACTATAACTATTTTTATCGCACATATCAGGAGCAGCTCGATTCGATCGTCAAGATGTTTGTTGTGATCTAACATAGGAAACGAAACTTTTAAGAATAAATGAAGTTGAGGGAGTGAAGAAGGGAAGAGTTTTCAATTCTAATCTAAGATGCATCAGATTCACTTGAAGGGATAAAAACAATCAACGAATAGTGAAGGTAAACGTAAATAATTATACTTAAATGGACATGCAGCAAACCTTCGTCGAAAAATAATTCATAATCAATAAATCGTCGCGGGGAAAATGCATCACGATTTAAAGAAACGCGTCAGAATTTTTTTCTTTTTTTTTTTTTTTTTACGCGGCTCTATAATGCACGATTTTCTTCTTGGCAGTTAGAATTTCATCTCTATCTTTGTTTCATTCTACCGTGAATGAATTTAAAAAGAATCATTCAATGATAATTTACATCGTTACGTGTCGATAATTTCAATCTTTTGACGATACTAAAAAACACTATGATAGATTTCGTATACTCGTTCACCGAATACTTTTTCTACTCGTTAAAAAGGAGCCAAAAAAAAAAAAAAGAGGAGGCGTAAAATCGTGACAATGACAGAGAGAACAACGACGAATGATTTATCTACACGGTCAAGATTTTTCGCTACTGTTTACACCGAAGAAGGAATCGGGACGAGCGATGCACGGTGCAAATAATCTTCGAAAAGAAAAGGAAAAAGAAGAAAAAAAAGAAGAGGATCCTCAAGTCACGTCGAATCGTTCAAATATCACGATACGACAAGATCCTCTTCCTTTCTACGAAAAAAAAAACACGAATTTTCGTTTGGACGACGAGGAATGTGAAAAGGGACATCTATCGCTCGTCCCGAACAGAGTTTTTAGTCGCCTGCTAAAACTAAAATTCTACGGAGGATATGATCGGAATCACTGGCGGGTGAATCGAGTTAAATTAGTGTTATACGACGTGACCATTGCAACGTTCTACAAAGCAAGCTGGGGCCCCTAAGATGACCGAGCGTAGTACAAGGATGGTCGACAGGATCAGCAGGAGTGCGGGATTCGAACACGAGATCGAGGAGACACGATTGCACATATCCTCCTCACAGAAGCACATGTGACCAGTGCCGGTACTTTCCATCATGCACACGTGATCCACCATGAATAAGTTTATCTGTAGCTGCGAAGTGCAGGTCCGCCTCACGCTCTCATACGCTGCGAACAGAGACGAGGGATTGTCAGTAATTATTCCAGTTAAAAATTTTTAACGCAAGTAACAACTGTGATATATATATATATATATATATGAATAATTAAATTGAAAGTTAAGAAAAAGGATGATGAGAGAATTAATAAAGTAATGATTGAATTTTAAACTAAATTTCTAAATTAGTTGGGCAATTGAATAATAACAATAAGATGTATAAAATTAAAAAAAAAAATAATGAAGAGAATACTATGTAATAATTATAAGAATTGCATTTTTAAATCAATTTTTTTTTAATTTTTGCATTCCCTCTATACCTATGCGTTTAATTCGAGATGTCAGCTCGTAGATATAATATATACAGTTGATATTAGCCGTATTTGTTCAAATGGAAAAATAATTATTTCTTACAAGAAATAATGGTATGAAAAATCACTTACGTGACTTTGCGTTGCGAACCATTTTTACGCAACATCCATTGCAAGTCATAAGAGGCGGTTGATCCCTCGGAAGTGCGGTGTAATTGAAAGGATCCTTGCATCTCAAATCCGTCCACGAGTCGCATTCGTAGCAATAAATAGAACGAGCTGTAAAACACAATCGCAATGAAACGCTATGCTCATCTTTTAAACTAAGTTTTTAAATTTACGAATGGGATAAAGATAGGAAAAATATTCGAGCATCAATTAATTATCCTATGATAAAATTAATTTTCTCGAAACTACTACGTTCTCTTAATCATAGAAAAAGAAGACAGAAAAAAATTGTCTCGAATATGAATAGCAGAAAATTAATTTATACGTAATTAAATTGTTAAAAAAAAAATGAATAAAAAATAAAGAGGAAAAAATTAATGATGTGAACGAATCTTGAGAGCAACAACAAGCTTGGGTGAAACAACATTGACAAATAACAAGAACACTGAAGTGAAGTTGATTGAGTTTGATCACTCACTCTGGCACTCCGCGCGACAGACGGTGGCAACCGCAAGTACAATTGCCGCTGAAACGAAACATTGGCCACTGCTTTAGACGATGACAACGATGGTATTTGGCTGCAAATATCTACGAAATGATAATCATGAACAAGAAAAAAAAAAGAAGAAGAGTGCACACTGCTAGAACTACCCGCTATTTTTCCTATTTTTGCTACTATCTTCGCTATTTGCAACGACTATTCATCGTTATGGTTGCATCTAAAAAAAAATTTTACGTAGTGACTACAGACACTTAAATATCTTGATATCTAAATATTTTATCGATCGGTAGAACGACTTAAAATAGTAGAATCTCTATTGATATTCATAATTAATTAATCGTTTGATATGAAAGTGACAAAAAAAAGAAGAAAAATTTCTATTCGAAATTATAAAATCACTTTTGAAGTTTTGATTTTAATCGTGTGATGTTTTAAATCTCGCTAAAATATCTAGATATCTCGATACTCGAAATTTTAACTGAAATAGTAATAAGAATTCTAATAGTTGACTAGTTAATTATAATACGTAGTACATATTATCAGTCGATGCTGCTCTTCGAGTAAATCTGATTTTCTGTCAAATGTAAGGACTATAAGATAGGCTTCGATGTAGAAAGAATGGTCATTAATTTTTGAAACATATAATACATTCGACCATCGCTCGTATACGAAAGTGGAATAAGTCAATAACTTACGACTTACGTGTCGTACTTTCTTGGTTCTCCATATTATAAATTATTAATGACACAATATTTAACAATATTTTTCTCATGCACATTTTATTACTAATAGAACAGTATTCTGATTTCAATTATGAGTAAGAATTTGTTTAATCAAATTGTATGTAATTAATAACGATGACCATTCATCGAAACTTATACCATTTTTTTATCAATTTTAGAAACTAACTGGTACGTACCTCGTGCACAGGGGCAGCGATCGTACGCGTGAATACTAATATAATTAATTCTAAAATATCGTTTTTTTAAAAAAAGAAGAAAAAAATAAATCTGTATATAAATATAATATACATATATATAAAATATAATATTATATATATATACATAATCTATGAGAACAACATGAAGTTATTTTAACATTGTTGAGGATAAAAGTAATCTTCAAAGAAAATAATTTTAAATTCAACAAAAATCCTTAAATTTTAGCTGAAAACTTTTTACATTCTCATTTCAAATCTCATTTCAATTAATTTCTAACGATTTACATTTCACACTTTAAGGCTTCTCAAATATTTCGTAACATTTTAATTTAATTTAATTTGAGGGTGAAACTTTTATACGCAACAATGTATCTGTCCATCCTTATTTATGCTTTATTTTTTATCGCTACATTTTTTGTTTCCTTCTGTTTTTGTCGTTTGCACACTCACCCCGAGTAGTGCGCTTGATCGCCTCCAAAACAATCGATAAAGCACGTTCCATTCGTATCTAACTATTCAGGCATTGATATTGTTTTGAGAAGAAAATTCTAGCAGATCAGAATTTTCCGGATAAAGCGACAAATAATTTTATTGTATATTCTCCTTTCTTTCGTTTTTCGTCCTTCCTTTTCTTTTTTTATTCCAATTCATTAAACCGTAATATATTAAAATATTTTTCTTTTTTATTAATTTACTTATATTGGAAAATTACGAATAAAAAAAAATTGGAAAGATTTCTAAGTTGAACCGTAAGATAAAGAGATAAAAATATTTCGCATATATACATTAATTACCAGGTATTCAAAATATTCGATAAATATACCAATGAAGTAAGCGATTACGATTAAATGCTGCGTTAATTAAACGAAGATTAAATTTACTAGCATAAATATAATAAATACAATAAGTATACATAGCTCTATTACAATTTAATAGATATACAATTATAAGATTATATACTATTTGGATATCCATATTTTCCATAGTTTCGAATATCAATCAAAAATATGAATATATTCAACGGATGAAACAGAAAAAAAAAAAGATTTCTTTTTACGAAATCAATAAACTACAACAAAGTATTAATCTATCACAATAAATAAATATATAAATTTTCAAAAACACATTTAACAATCATTAATTACAAAACGGTGTGAAAAACTTGTGTAATGCAAAATCTTCACTTAAATTCGTGCGTGTAGTTTCTGTATAATTCGTGCTTATGTATATCCATTACATATGCCTGAGAGATTCTTTTCACGGCGAAACAATAAATAATGAATACGATTCAAAGAAAGAGATACGTGTGATGTTTCTTTTCAATTGGTAAACAAAAATCGGTGTATAGAAATAGGGAAGAAAAAAAAAATTCTGAGGAAAACTCACCCCCTATCAAGTAATTCGGCAACATGTTTCCAATGTGACTTAGTCTCCCACTTATTTCCTGTACAACCTCATGCCGTGTCACGATCTTACCCCTACGGTAGAATTCGCTTTTGATACAATTCAAGGAGTTGCATTCGCCTGTCAGGCGATCGACTGAAAATGAAAAAAAAAAGGATAAAATGAGAAAAAACTTTTTATTATTCGTTTTATTTATCGGTTTGACATCGGTTGACTGCTTCTAATTACGTAGCATAATTGGAAAGAAGAAAGCGTAATAGAATCGCCAATTTTAGAAAATCGATATGTCGGATGTGTTTAAGATTTTCCCTGTAAATTTATGAAGGCTTTAAGTGATTTGAATTTATAATGAGAAATAGATGAGGAATTAAGTTAAGGATAATATTTCATAAATTTGATATTTATTGATTACAAAAATTTATTGATTACAAAAATTGCAAGTGAAGTTGAAATAAATTTTTCATTATTAAATAATAATCAATTATATACTCGATTTTATTTCTGGTTTTAGCTGAGGATACAATTTTGCAAATATCGTGAATTATCAATAATGATATAGGAAATTATATTAGATTGAAATTATACATTTATAAAAAATTTATATTGAACGCTATCAAAAATATTGAAGTTTATTAAATTATCGAAAATTAAGTTTCAAAGCAAGACGATTTAAATTTAATAATCGTCTTTGATGATATGCACAGTATGTCGCTACAACGACCCCAAAAATTTATGATCGTTTTAAAAAATAATAATACGTCCCGATTTAATTCGAATTTTCTCTTTTGAATATTACTAGTGGTAGAAATAAATGACTAGGTAGGGAAAAGCATGAGAAATTGAATCAAATTTTCTAAAAAAGATCGTACACGCTATGGAATAGTAATATTATGGTAATTATTTATTATTTATACTGTTTTTTTTTTGTAAGGAAGAAATAATTTTTGATAAATTTAAATGATATTAATTTATCAAAATTTCATTATTTTAACAAATTTAACAAACGATTCAAAAAATTGGGGATGTAAATGCTTTTTGGCACATGCTGTTAATTACAAGTAATATTCGGGTCAATACATTCTGGCTTTCATGCAATCTTGCGGCAAATAACACTGCAGCACATAATCGAGCCAACAAAATATCACATATTCTCGTTTTATAAATGTATATAAGCTTACCTATTTTTTACTTATTTTTGATATTATTTAAAATCTGTCAAATTTAAAAATTAATAAGAGAATAGCATACGTAATAAGCATTTAACTTAACATAATTAACTCTATTATTTTAATATATATATATATAAATAATATCATTATAGTTTGAATTTCATTATGAAATTTAGACGATCTGTAAAATATCTGATTGTAATTTGTACTTTGCACATAGTTTGTTGAATAATAAATTTTGCACATCTCTATATAAATAACTAGATAATAATATGATTTTCTAAAAAATCTGCAAATATCAACAGTTCCAGAACAAAAATAAATACTTTGTGCATCATCTTTTCTTTAATGTCGATTTGGCAAGCCAACTATGTTATTCGATCATGCGATAAAAGTTATATTAAGCGACTAATCTATTAAAAAATTATTTTCATCCTACGTTAGGGTTTCCCGCCAATTATTTATTTCAAGAATTTCTTTATTCTCTATTTGCAAAGATCATTGTAAATTTAACGTGTTCTATTATCTATGGATAATTATTTCAATTCTCAATGCATAAAAATTTACAATAATAACGATAATCTTTCTACGATAAAGAATGTGAAAAATATTAAGCTACTAAAGCTACTAAGAATAAATTTAATAAAATCTATCTCTGTTAAAAATTCTCATCCTCTAATTTACCATGCATGCTTTTCAACATATTCTATCATACAATCTCAAGAAATTCTTCATTTATATCATTATTGAAGCTAAATCTTTCCAACGAAAAGTAAAATGCGAATAATTCGTGTGCGTGCAATCTACGAAAGGTTTTTTTATTTACGGCAAGATGATTTACCTTCGTTATAATACGTCGATCGTAGATTTTTTTTGGTCCTTTGTAATCGTGTAAAAGATAAATTTTCGAAGGGGTTAAGAGAGAAGAGAAGAATTCTCAGAAATTCTGAGAATTGTGATTTCGAATTTGTGATATTGACGGACTGCTATGAGAACGGACGATCGTCCCAGTTTGGATCGTGTGTTCCGTCACAATGTCGCGGTTTCATCTTCCTGTCAGGCACATTCGAGCAACGCCTTGTGTCACCGCGATGGATTCGAGCAGGGCAAAAAATCCTGAAATAATTTGAAACGAAAAAAAGATTCGACTTCAATGAAAAAATCGAGGCTTAAATCACATGCCGCGTAACTGGCTTCGTTTTTCGTTTTCAGGAAACGTAGTAATTATTTAACAGGGAGGAAAATGACTTTGCAAGTCGGAAGTATTCAATTTGTTTTAATTGAACACGATATGAAGAAAATGCAATGTGAATGTCAAATTTAACGAAACGTTTAAAATACGCGTTTGTTGGACAGATCTTTTATAATTTATGTTTGATAGATCTTTTTCCAGGAATTGTTTCAATATTTTTAACAATTAATTTACCTCGATGAAGTTTAATATTTTAAAAGTTTAATATTTTTTTTTTTAATATTTTTTTCTTATTCGTTCGTTAACATAATTTTTTCATGTGAAATTTTTTTATAAAAAAGTTAAGTTTAACGATCAAATGTATAAAATGTATTTATATTATTTCTCGAGGAATATTGAAAAATAATTCTAATTCTTTTTTCAATTGAATGAAAAATATAAAAATATAAAAATATAATATTTATAATATTATATTAATAATATATTTATATAATATTCTAATAAAAAATCTTTTTTCAAAAACGTATCAATAAATCTAAATAAATTTACACTTCATACGATGGTATATAATTTTATATAAAACTTCGAATCTGAGAATATGTGATAAAACAATTAATCAATCAGAAGGCAGTACAAATATATATATAACGATTGGTTAAACGGCTTGCTATCAAGCAATACACGTTTGTGTAATAACAGATGAAATAGCCACTTGATGTATGAGATGCATAATGGAAAATTCTCGTGAGAAATGTATACATACATACGTCATAGCGCGCAATAAATATTTCATGCAAAAAAAGATGCTGATGGAATGAATTAAACGTGTTTTATATATGTTAAATTCAATTTTACGAACTTATATTAGTCTTTAAAAATCAAATAATTTTACATATGAATAAATATTACTTTATTTTTACAAGAATTAAGATATTAATAATGATCAAGATTTAGACACCTGTTGCTCAAGATAACGTGCGAATTCTATTAATTTTTCAATATTGATATTTTATAAAAGAAATGCTGCATTTAAGTAAAAAATTAAATATTTTTTTTTTTTTTTTTTTTTAGTAAATAAATTATAATTTGTTTGAAATTTACTTTTTAATTAGTCAAAGAGAATTTAGAATTTTTGTTACGCGCAAATTTTGTAATAAAAATTAATAATTCAGAAAGATGTTTATATTGGCAGTAAAAAGATCACGATAATGTTTCCTGGTAATTCTACTAATACAATTTTGAATCTGACTTTAACTTGTATTTTTATAGGTTTTTATTCTCTTTGAATGATTTTAATGTCTACAATACAGTGAAAATATCATTATATTAAAGTAAAATTATTATTTATAATAAAATAAACATTTTTTCTACATAAATATTTTCCTAGATTCAATTAATCAACTGATTAAGTAATTAAATTATTTGCTCTATATTAATGAATGAAATTCTTGGTATCAATTATCGTAGTTCACAAATCTGACTTATGACACTAAAGAAAAAACTAAATATAAAAATTACGAGATAAGATATAAAATATAAATTCTTGGTAAGATACTAATAACAAATCATAATATAATATAAATACAAATAAAATTTTCCTATTTCACGAGCAATTTTATTCATTACTACGTTTATGCAATGTGAAAGTAACGGATTATTATTAATTTCAATAGACTTTAGTGATCAAATAATATTTCTAATTATATTAAAATATTACATGAAAGATTTTCTCAACAATAATACAAAAATCAACACGTTATTCTCGAATAAAAATTAAGAAAATCTGAATGATAAAGTGCGAAATTGCAATATACCATTTCGAGATGCAACAATTAGTTCTATAATCCTTCTCGAACAATGAAAAAAAAAAAAAAAAGAGCCAGAGCATAAAACGAACAAAGAACAGAAATACTATTTAAAACAAGTAGATTAATTTAAGATCAGATAAAAATCAGAATATCATTAAGTTACAATTAGCATGTTCACGATTTTAATATTATACATTCTTACACAAATTTAACGCTACATGTTCCAGATATTATAAAAATTCCAATACACACATTAAAATTATTAGCTATCCTTGAAACATATCCACACAGCAGAATCAACCCCTTTAATGAACAATCACGAAAACGAATCGAGAAACGATTCATTGATAAAAATATGGAATAAACAATAAGATCGTTTTTAAATTTTCATCAATACGTACACAATTCGTGAGAAGAAAATCCGGAATACTCAATCGTTCAATGAAACCGGAAACTTGACGAAGATTAGAGGAACACTAATTTCCAAGGTCTGGTTCCCTTCGACCAGATCCACCCGTCACTATCGTCGATAAATATGCGTACTCTCGTTGATTTATGTGATCACTGCAACACCAGCATGGCGGAGGACGATTCCATGTAAAGAAGGACGATGCGGTGTAAAAACAAGTGCAGTGGTTGCGACTATGCTAGCGTGTTTAAGCGTCGCGAGGCGTCGCGGCGCAGTCTGTGAAGCGCCACCCGAAACGCGCAATCGGATAGAGGCGAAGTGCGGATCCAGGTCGATCAATATGACGGGTCAGCAGTCGTTGCCTCATGCTTACATTGCGGCAAGAGTATGTTGGACGTACTATGAGAAATACACGGAGACGGTGGAAAACAGGGAGAAAAGTTGGGGAGGAGAAGGAGACATTTCACGTTTGCGCTGTGGAAAATAACATCGAGTGTTTTTCATTTTCATTAAAGAAACATGCACGTGCACGAAATATCGAAATTACATACGAATAAGAGAAGATAGAATCTTATATGTTTTTATAGCTTCGTATTTTACTTTTAAATATATCTTTTAATTTTTAATTAAAGTTAGAAAATTTATACATATTTTAAAAATCCTCATTGAATATAGTATTTAGCTGTAATCTATCTATCTACGAATATTTATATTACCGATATAATTCAAATATTTGCTAGTGTAATGTATTGATTAATTATAAATTTATACAGTTAATCCATCTTTTGAGCATAAATTGTAAAGCAAGTATAGAGAAAGCAAAGAATGGGAGAAGGACAAAGATAGGATAAAAATATTGAAATTAGCACCATCTTCAGAATGCCGCAAATAAATCACAATAAACAAAGATAGTTAAGAAAAAGATAGAGATAGTAAGAATTGATCTTCAATGATATCTTGTGAGTGACAATAACATCTTTTTAAAGTTTTTTTTAAAAATGAACTAAAGCAATCAAGATATGACGCTGATTATCATCAATTCTTAATTTATCTTTTTTCTAAAACTCAAGAGATGGCGCTAGTATGATAAATTCGTAATTTATCATACTTCTGAAACTCGAGAGATGGCGCTAGTTATAAATTCTTAATGTATGGTTCTTCTGAAACTCGAGAGATGGCGTTAGATATAAATTCTTAATTTATTGTACTTCTGAAACTCGAGAGATGGCGTTAGGTATAAATTCTTAATTTGTCGTACTTCTGAAACTCGAGAGATGGCGTTAGGTATAAATTTTTAATTTATCGTACTTCTGAAACTCGATAGATGGCGTTGTTTATAAATTTTTAATTTGTCTTACTTTTAAAATTCAAGAGATGGCGTTAATTATCAATTCTTAACTTATTCTGCTTTACTACACAACGAAATTCTAATAGTGTACTATAGGCAATTATAATAATAATCATTGATAGTGATAAATAGAATATATAAAAAGTACTTATATAAATTGAATTTATTCTTTAAAATGGTAAAAGTGAATGTATAATTTATAATGAGATTCTCTAGAATCCTAAACTATGTGAATTATAAAGCACAAAAATATATTAGATAATAAATTCTGTACTACTCATCGATAAAACATTTATCGCAAAATTTTGATCTTAACATTCGAATCCCTTTAAATATTTTTTTTATATAAAATAAAGTTTTTCACAAAATTTCAAGCTTTAGATTTCTAAAATATATCCGATTCTATCAATGAATTCTTGAATTCATCACTTTAAATCTTAGAGGGCATATCAAAACGTCTGATTTTTTTATACGAATGGTATTTCACAACATGAATATATTCTATGCAATAAAAAATCTGTTTTGTATGTCATTACTAAATATAAGATCTAATTGGTCTATTCTTATCTTATCTATATATCTAGTATGTGAATTTGTCTATACCGATTTTATCTGAATAATAATTTTCACAATAATTCATAATAATTCTTAACTTGTATATTCCAACTGTATTTTCGAAAATCCTTATTTTCTTTTAATTTTGTTGATAACTTTGTTTAATCACGTAGCTATTGAATCAATTTCTTTAAAGAAATGTTTTTAACATTCAAGAGATGGTGTTGGCAGTCAATTATTCTATATCTGTCAGGCTATTTACTCTTCTTATCCATTCTTGTTCTTGACAAATGATCATATAGCATATCAATTGAACATATTTTTATGATTTTTACTTCGAAATTATAATATATCTTAATTTTTAATATAAAAAATATAAAAAATTATATTTTTGTCTTTGTAATAACTTTACAAAACGTAATATATTCTGATTTATAATGCTACGTATCAAAATATTAATTTGTCATATTATTGTATATAATATCGATTATTATTTATATATTAATTTATATTTATATATATTAATTAATATTTATATATCATAAAAATTATTTCTCAATTTGTGAAATTCATCTGCAATTATTGTCATGAATATATATACTTAACCTTATACTTACCTTACACCTAACCCTCCTGATGTTCTGATTATGTTATCTAAATTAACCAATACAGTATATACCTTCTAAATACAGTATATAATAGTTTCTATCGAGATTGTTCTTTGTTATAAAAATTGATGGTCCTGAGAAGGACCGATTTGTTATTTTTAAATGAATGAAAAGCAAAATTATGCTTTCTTCTCAGTTTTTTTAGGCAATAAGACTGCTTGAATATTAGGCAGAACACCACCTTGTGCAATTGTAACTCCAGATAAGAGTTTATTCAGCTCCTCGTCATTCCTGATAGCAAGTTGTAAATGCCGTGGAATAATCCTAGTCTTTTTATTATCTCTGGCTGCATTTCCAGCCAATTCTAAAACTTCGGCAGCCAAATATTCCATAACAGCTGCCAAGTAAACAGGTGCACCAGCACCAACACGTTCTGCGTAGTTGCCTTTACGAAGTAATCTATGTATTCGGCCAACAGGAAATTGCAAACCCGCTCTATTCGATCGAGATTTTGCTTTTCCTTTAATTTTTCCACCTTTTCCACGTCCAGACATATTTGCTTCTCAAAATTATTTGAACGATATTATAAAATCAACGAAAATACTCCTTTCAATTGCAAACCAAAAGTGATGGCACAGGCCACAATGCGTTCCCTTTTACGTATTATACGCGGGCAGCGCTCGACCTATCACGAGCCACGTTACAGTTAGCAGCCTCTGATTGGTGCACTGCTGCTACACACTCACTGTTGCTGCTATGACACGACATAAATCGTATTTCGGTAGTTAATAATAACATGTCTTGGAAGCATCAGTAAGCTTTCTACCTGTCTATAAAATTTACTTAAATTTCCTTTTGGAAAATTTGAATCAATCTATGAAATGAAAACAATAGTTTTTATCATAAAAAAAGAAAATTAAATATTTTGGATATAAGATTCATTTTCGCTTTTAGAATTAAAAACATAATATATGACATATCTCTTCTTACAAAAATTATTCGCTCTTATATTTGTTCTTACGATCAAAAAACAAACTTAGAATAGATATAAAAATAAAGAAACTTAATGACAAATTGAGAAAAGAAAAGAAATATTGAAATAAGCGTTTTTTTCGATAATCGAGCTGAAAGAATCAAATTTATAAATAGATAATAGTAATAATCAATAATTTAAATAATCAAAATTCATAATAATTTATTCAAATTATCCATATTATTTAATATAAATAAAAATCATTAAATTATATATATTATTTAAATTATTTAAATTATATTGGAAATAAATATAAAATATAAAAAAATAATATAAAAAAATGACATTGAAAATGTGAATATAATTATATTCAAAATGAACATGATACAAAAAATTATATTCAATTTTTTCGACTGTTTCTTTGGTCATATGTACAATTTTTTTATTTATATGCTTTTTTGCAGAGATCTATTTTTAAAATAAATCTCATAATTGTCACTTCTACAATTTTTTTTGCAATATTCGCTATTTTAAGTGTCAAATGAACCAATTTGAGTGTCAAATTTTAAATGTCAAATGAACCATTTAAGTGTCAATAGAACCAATTCGAAAATTAGGACTTCAGTTCTTTGTTTTTTCATAAAATATTTAATTTTACTTAATTTTAATTAATATACTCAATAAGAAAAATAAAAAAAAATTTTAATTTAAAAATTTTGAGTTATTATAGCATTAATTAGTAGAAAACTTACACAAAATCCTCATCATTTTTCAAAAAATTCAAATAATTCTTTTTGATATTAAAGTTCTTCTTTATATACATATGAAAATCAAATTTTAATTTTTCAATCCAATAAATTTAACGTACTTGAAACTTTCTAAGATTCCTCGATAGATGTCGCAAAGTACAACACAAATACATTCAAATAGTCGGATGTACACCCTTCCCCCTCTCTATATGTTGGCAACAACTAAATATTTTTTCGTATTTTCTTATATAATACTATATACAATAATTAATAATATTAGATAATTATAATTTTATATTAAAAAAAATAATTGAATAATTTAAAACTTCTGAAAATTAATTATAAAATATTTCTTGTTATTAAAATTATTGCTAATACAAAATAAATATAAATAATTATTTAAATTGATCAATTATAATTTCTATATTATAAAATTTATTTAATAATATTCATTGAATTATATCAAAAAGTCATGATTTCAATATTATATTTCTGCATATCAACAGTAACACTCTTCCCCCTCCAGTATATACTCAACCAATCAGGAGTTTCCAACCGAGAATCGCATAGCATAAAAAGTGGAAGACAGGAGCGCTGGAGCGCATTTTACGTTTTACAATTACGTTGAACGCGTCGTTGGAAGTTTCGATTAGAAACAATGGCTCGTACCAAACAAACTGCTCGTAAATCAACTGGTGGAAAGGCACCACGTAAACAATTGGCCACTAAAGCTGCTCGTAAGAGTGCTCCTGCTACCGGTGGAGTGAAGAAACCTCATCGTTATAGACCTGGAACTGTAGCGCTTCGTGAAATTCGACGATATCAAAAAAGCACCGAACTTTTAATCCGAAAATTGCCATTCCAACGTTTGGTTCGTGAAATTGCTCAAGATTTCAAGACAGATTTAAGATTCCAAAGCTCTGCTGTCATGGCTCTTCAAGAAGCCAGCGAAGCTTATCTCGTTGGTTTATTTGAAGATACCAACCTGTGTGCAATTCACGCCAAACGTGTTACGATCATGCCGAAAGATATTCAGTTGGCTCGCCGTATTCGTGGAGAAAGAGCTTAAATTGCAATTTTTTGAAAAAAAACAATCGGCCCTTTTTAGGGCCAAAATTTTATTTAATGTGGCAACTCTATGTTCTTATTTATACTTAAAAATTGATCGATGTATTAAAATTTTTCTGTTTTTCTATTCCATACTTTAAATAATATAATATAAAATATAGTATATATAAAATAGAAATAATAGGAATAAATACATAAATATTAGACGATCAACTTGAATAATTCGATCTTTACGATTCGATTTTCAATTTTTGTTCATAGCAAAAACAATGCTTTACTGATTTAAAATATTAAAAGATTTAGAATTCATATAGATAATAATATTTATAGGTTTTTGATAGAGAATATATTCGTATATGTTTTCAGATACGAAATCTTTTCCTGTTGCACAAAACATTTGTATATATTATTGATATAAATCGAGAATATTCTTTATTTTCTAAGAAAAGATTATACAAAAAAGAAGTTAATTTTTCTTCTTAATATTATAAAATATGAAATTTAGAATATTTTATTTATTGTAGTGACAGAATTATGAACATTTTTTTATTTTTGAAAAATTGATGTTTTTGTATGATATAAATATTTTTTTTATCTTGGTTCGATATTAAACAAAGTATTTTAAATAATCATATTAAATTACAAAGTTTTAAGCATTTAAATATTTGAAGTGAGAATGGTCGCATATTTTCTTTATACAATTTGAGGTTAAATGAATCACCACATTTCAATTTACTAAACAATATAATAATAGGAAAGAAGTTTGAATACATACAGGAAAATAAAGCAATCTTCACTTATATGACATAGATAATTACAACAGTAATATAATCGATGTTAAACAATTTAGGATATTTGAAAATTCCTTCAGACATATAAAGAAATATTATATTCAAACAATTGGAAAACAAAAATTCATAAAAAATACATTCAAAATAAATTATAAATTCAATATATATTTTAAATTATATATTTAGTATATATATTAAATTATTATAATAATAAAAAAATAAACGATCTATAAATATAATAAATATAATATATTAAACTCGTATATATAATTTCCACAGTATTCAATAGGAATTTTTTCTACTAATCCCAAAAAATTCATTAAATTTAAAATTCATAAAGCTTTATTAACATTTAATTTCTAAAATATTATACATTATAACATATAATTCATATTAAAAAAAATTTCTTAATATATTATATGAAAACATTTAAAAAAGAAATCAAAGAAAAAATATTTCATTAAACATTTAATATTCAACATTTGATAAAACATTCAACTACTGATTAATAATATTAATCATATAGTATACATTTTATTTCAAGTCATTCACAATTTTCAAGACATTGAAATAAGAAAAAAAAATCATTCACAACAAACTTTCATATTTGGAAACATTAAAAGGAAACCATTGAATTAACCTAAACAAACAAAATAAGACAAAGTATAAAGAGAAATAGTAACAGTATTCTTGATACATCAAAACTACAAACTTCAAAACATACTATAACCTAATACTGGGCTTATTGAATCAATCTACACATACATGCTAGTAATAGTAATAAAAGCAATACACATTCCATTCAAAGTCAATTCTATATTAGAGAACGTAAATGATTTAAAATATATGATTCTTATTTCATTACCAAAAGAAATTTATAATAATTAATGAAAGAATCGAACTAAATAACTTCATATATAACATAATACAGTTCCGAATGATATGAATTATTGAACAATGAATGCAGTAAATATTTTGTAATATATAGATAATATCATTATATGTCTATAATAGAAGGAAAGATTCCTTCACTTACCGTTAATTTTTTAAGAGTTCCCGATCCATTTTGTGGCATTTTTTACTCTTATTATAACAACCAACCACTGAAAATAAAAAGAATAAATATATTGATGATATTATATACATAATTATTGTTTATAAGATTACAAGCTGATTTTTTATTATATTTTTATATCAAATTTATATAATATATTACATTTTTATAAAAAATATGAAAATAACAAAACTGTCTATTATTTTGTATATAAACATCACTATTTAAAAATTTATATTTTTAATGAATATTTACCTACCTAAAATGTAAAAAATTTATGGAATTTTTATATTTTATTAAAATACAGCGAAGAATAAAATTATTCAAACAAAAAGTTTATATAAATGTGCAAAATATATTCCATATTAATAATATATATATATATATTTTTTTTTAAATGATGTATCATAATAGACAAATTCAAATATATATCTGTAATAAATCTTTCCAATCCTAGATATGATATGCACTAGAAAAGACAATACATTTCAAAGAGTGTATTAGATTTCTTTCATTTTGATTTTTTCATTCATCATATAATCTGACAAATATAAAAGATAAAATATAAAAGCCTTTTTATATTTTATAAAAATAATTATCTACTAATGAGATAATTATTTAAAAAAATTATTCAATAAAATTTAATCATTATTATTAAAATTCTAAGAACATTCAATTATCAATTATTAAAAATTTTTCATTTATAAATAAAAAATTAATATTTTTTAACATAATAAAATTTAACATAATATTTTTAATATAATTATATATTTAATTTTAATTAAATTTTGAAAATAACATTAATATTAAAATATTTTTAATATAAAAAATAATTATCTTTATATTTTCTTTTCATATGTGTACTGTGAACCATGCAACATCTGCTATTTTGGCGGGAATCGGTCGATAGCTTAAGGTAGGGGAGCAGTTGTGCAGCACTCCTCCGTTAGATTCCCTAGCACTATCTCCAATGTACAGCATGGCTAGAAACATTGTAGTTTAAAATTCACCACTTTTTTCTAGTTCTATATAAAACTCTAAATGTAACTTGAAATATATATCTTATAAACATGCAATGCAAAATAAAATTTATGTATATACACAATATTTTTCCAAAACTATATTATAATCAACACATTCAATTAGATGTGTCTTTATCATATTCAAATAAATAAGTTAATCAAATTAAAACTAAATCCAACTGAAGTAAGTTACTCTCGTATAAAATAGTTCGTGATAATTAATTTGTTCGTAATAAATAAAAAATAGAGATTGTTCCTCGTATGAAAAGATTTAGTGGCCCTGAAAAGGGCCATTTGGATGTAGTGGATAGTATTTAAAAATAATTATTTTTTTGCTGGTGACTTGACTGTTTTTGGTGCCGCAGCTTTCTTCGGTTTAGGAGTCCTGGTTTTAGCTGCTGGTGCCTTAGCAGTCTTTTTAGCTTTCGACATGCTTTTGGCCTCAGAAGCAGCTTTAGGTTTTGCTGCAGCTACCTTCGATGCGCTCTTTTTTGCTGGTGCTGGTTTCTTTTCGACAGCAGCTTTCTTTGGTGTTGCTGGCTTCTTAGCGGGAGCAGTTTTCTTAGAAACAGTCTTTTTTTCGACCCACTGTGTCTTTTTCGGTACAGATTTCTTTGTTGGATGCGGAACTTTCTTGGTCTTCGAACTCTCAGAATTCTTTCCGGTAGAAAGCTTAAAAGATCCAGATGCTCCTTTGCCTTTTGTTTGAACCACAGTGCCAGATGTCACGGCGGATTTCAAATATCTTTTGATGAACGGGGCAAATTTTTCCCCATCGACTTTATAAGTGGAGGCGATATATTTTTTTATCGCCTGCAAAGACGATCCTTTGCGATCCTTTAACTCCTTGATAGCAGCGTTAACCATCTCAGAGGTTGGAGGATGAGATGCCTTCTCACGTTGTGCCTTCGATTTGCTCTTTGATGGTTTCTTCGCCGGAGCCGTTGGATTTTCAGCAGCTTCGACTGCAGTACTGCCAGAATTTGCTTTGTCTTCCATTTTTGTGGAATTACTTCAACAATAACGGATAAAAAGTTTATACAAAGTGCCTGGAGGTAGCTAGACCAACAATGATGCTCTTGCTTTAATGGTAGTTAGCTTTGGCTGTGAGCGGTGTTCTTTCTTAAGCGCGGACCATGGAGAGAGTCCTACCCAATATGTCGGATGCCGCGATTCCATGACAGCGAAGAAGCGGTAAATATACCTTTACTTTTGTGCTTTGTTTTTCTAAATTACATACGTGTTAATAAGTAATCGTTGTGCAAAAATATAGCTACGTGTGTGCACTTTTATATACTTATTGATTTTTATGTATATTTATCTGTTAAAGCAAAATATTGCGCCGTTCAACGAAGTCCGTCTTTTCGAAGCGATAGAACATCGTGTAGAAAAAGTTAAAAATCTAAACATTTACGCGAAAATTGACATGATACTTATATAGAAAATTGTAAAAAAAGGACTGCTGCTAATTTATATTCAATCATTTGTATTCAACTTACAACGGATACTTAAAAAACTTACTTGATATTCGATCGCTTAGTGATGTATAATATGAACCACGAATGTTCTATCGTTGGATTAATATCAATTCCCATGGATGTGTGAAATATTCCATTTATGTATCTAGAATTAATTTTTATTACATCTTTCATATTTTTAGTATTCTCAAATGAGATTTGATGACATTTACTTTTATTTAATTGTTTTTATTTGCTGTTCTTTTTCTGATGGAGATCGTGATAGTATGTACAAGGAATCTGTGATTCAGAATATCACTTATAAGTACTAATTTAAAAATATTCTTATAAAATTGCTTATTTTATGTTTTAATTCATATTATCATAATTTAAATTTGAATTGAAAAATTTAATTATAATTTTATATAAAAATATAACAGTTTTATATAAACAGGGAATGATATTTCCTTTCAGAATAGTACTTGTAGGTAATTTTATATCATATGTATGTGTTTTATAACACTTCTATTATAAAAATATTAATTCTTATACAATAGTATTAATTAATAATATTAATTAATAGTTTGTTAAAGTATATTTTTCATTTAATTTTATTTTTCTATCATAAGATATTATATTTAATGATATAGAATATAAGTCTTAAAATTATAAAGAAGCTACATAATTTTTTATTGTTAATAATTTAGTCAAAAAAGTGTATAATTTCTTTCATGTAATTATTTTATATTGAAATGTAATGATCTTTTTTTAAATTTATTTATATTGTAATATAAAATTGAAATATTGTAATATAAAATTGAAAAAAAATATTAATGCGTTTTGATAATATATACACATATAATTCAAAAAATAATATTATACTACAGTAAATAATTTAGAACAATGACAAATTTTCATAAATATTCAATTTATAAAACATGATAAAAAAGTTTGCGATCAGAGTCCGAACTTGAGGGAGTTGTATAAACTACAGGACACGTCATCATTGATTCGCTTGTTGAATTAGGAAGAGAATCTTCTATATTCTGTGCTTCAGAAAAAGATAATACAATTTCTAAGTTGAATATTTCATTTAAGCATTAAATAGCATGTATAATATGTAAATATTTATATTTTTGCTATTTTTTTTTATTTATGAATTATTTTTCTATACAATTTTCTTTGTATATCAATTTGTTAGTTCATCAAAAAATTTAAGCATGGAGGGCACGCTAAAGTCGTAGGTTCTGACATCTGGCGTAAGAAATTTCTACTTTTAATGCTAAAAATTTAAAATATAAATAATAATATAACTAAAAAGTTATTATAAATTTATTTTATAATTTTTTAAACAACTTGTATCATTTAATAATTTTTTATTGTTATATTTATTGTATACGAATAAACTTTAATCTTGTCTACCAATCAAATTTCATGTTGAGAAACGACAGTGGAACCATCTATACAGAAGCCATTATTATAATGGTTCATCAATGATAGGATTTCAAAATAAGTATCAATATTAAATAAACTTCATACATTAACTAACAAATTTAAATTACATATATTTTTTTAATAAATAATATTTTTTATGAACTAGAAATGTATTACAATTTTTTTATACAAAATCATAGTGAAATTAACCCTAAGTAATATTGTATAACTTAAAAGTAACATATATTTTGAAAAATTTTATTTTGTCTATTTATCATTGTGCTATGTATTTCATCAATTACTAATATGAGGATAATTAAATGACTTATGAATAATATTATAGAGTTATTAGTTCATAGATTTTAAATTAAATCAATTAATTTAGAATCAATTCTAATCTTTTCTTTCGTAAGTAAATAAAATTCTACTTACAGAAAGTTAATATTTCTAGTAATTTTTAATTTTCTTTTTTTAATTATAAATCGAAATCTAGCATTCTAACCTGAAATTTTACTTGATGGAATGGAGGTTATACTAAGAATTATTATCAAATTTATATTAATTGTAATAAATATAATGCTTTTATGTTTTTGGCAACTATTCTATAAGTTTTTCAATGATTATTCATCTATTTTTGTAATTTCTATGAATTCTTTGTAAAAAATATATGAAATATTAGAAATTAAAGTATTTAGCGAATTTACATCATTGATCGTGACATCGAATGTTCCTCATATGAACTGCGCAAGTCAAAGCACTGCAAAACACCGCGGAAAACAATTAGAAAAATGATTTAGATATTTTCTATTAATTTTTATTATATTTACAAAATGATAAAGTACTCTACTATTTTAGAATGAAATAATTCTATTTAAATTTTGAAATATTCTACGAATGATATTTTCAATACATATAAGAGTATAATTTTTCAATTATTCAACACATTTTATCATTATTATTTAGGATTCAATGGAAAATATTCGGGTTAAAAAATATTCAATAATGAGTTATAACCAAGTTGTTTAACGTTATGAGAATATTGTTGGCCCTGAGAAGGGCCGATGATTTATAAGACGCTGCAGCGTTTATTTTGAACTGGTGTACTTGGTGACGGCTTTAGTACCCTCAGAAACAGCGTGTTTAGCCAATTCACCAGGCAACAGAAGTCTGACAGCAGTTTGGATTTCCCGAGAAGTGATGGTAGATCTCTTGTTGTAATGTGCTAAACGTGAAGCTTCAGCCGCAATACGCTCAAAAACATCATTTACAAAGCTGTTCATGATGCTCATGGCTTTACTGGAAATTCCAGTATCAGGATGAACTTGCTTCAACACCTTGTAGATGTAGATAGCATAACTTTCCTTCCTCCTCCTCTTCTTTTTCTTATCAGACTTGCTAATATTCTTCTGAGCTTTACCAGCTTTCTTCACAGCTTTTCCGCTTGCTTTAGGTGGCATCTTCGCAACTTGATCGTAGACTTGAAATGCACTCGACTGTTGTGAGAATTCAAGACTGAATGTCGGAACGCAGTGGAGGCGCGCTATTTAGCTTGAAACGTGGCACCAGCAGCGCACCAATCACGTGCGAGCTGGCGCGCCATTGGTCGGTTTGAGTTCGTAACGGCTGGCTTATAAAGAATACGTTTTTCCTGTAAGCGGCATATTTCTCTCACGTCTGTTCGAGTGCATTTGTGGTACTTCTTACTCTAAGTTCACGCAAAACATGTCTGGCCGAGGTAAAGGTGGTAAAGCTAAGGGAAAGGCGAAATCTCGTTCCAACAGAGCTGGTTTGCAATTCCCTGTTGGTCGTATTCATAGACTTCTTCGCAAAGGAAATTACGCAGAACGTGTCGGTGCAGGAGCACCAGTGTATTTAGCAGCCGTTATGGAATATTTGGCTGCTGAAGTGTTGGAATTGGCGGGAAATGCTGCTCGTGATAATAAAAAAACCAGAATTATACCTCGTCATCTTCAACTTGCTATCCGTAATGATGAAGAATTAAATAAATTACTTTCTGGAGTAACTATTGCTCAAGGTGGTGTTTTACCAAATATTCAAGCAGTTTTATTGCCAAAGAAAACTGAAAAAAAAGCTTAACCATATAAACATCGATATAAATGGCCCTTTTTAGGGCCACAATTTTTTAAAACAAAGGAATTTCTCATCTGATTCATAATTAAATAGAATACATTCTTATATACTAAAAAAATAAAGAATAGAGAACTATAAATAATCTAAAGATATATTATTCAAAGAGAGGAACATATTTAAGATAATTATCGAAAACAAAAAATTAAGATCTGATATAGAAAGTTTCATAAAATCATTTTTAATATAATAAAAGCCATGTCTATATTTTTATATTATTGACTACAATTTAAATCATACATATCATATTTTTAAAAAATCTTATCCAAATTTTTTTGTGAATATAATAGTTTCTAATACAAAACGTTGATTCCATATTTCGATTTATGTTTAGTTAAACAAATTTTTTGTCAAATTAAATATAATTGATAATGTTTTATATTATAAGTCATTTTATAAATTTTAGTTAATATAATCATAGCAATCATAAATTATCAAAATAAAATCCGATAACATGATATTTATATAGAAGTATTACAATGTATAATTATATATTATATAATATATGTTATATAATGTAATATTTATATTATATTATACATATATTTACATTATAATTATAATGTATATGTATATAATATAATATATTATCATCTTTCTTTTTTGTCTAATTTATTAAATAATATTTGCAATTTCTTTTATATCTAAAACTAGTTTTTTATATCTAAAAAATATTAGATTCATAAATTGCAATATAAAATAATATTAAATATTTTTATTATTTTTTACGCGTTGATCATTATTTCATAAAAAATGATCCTCGCTTTCATATACCGATCATAATACCGATGATTTTTTTGAAAAATTTTAATATTTATAATATTCAATAGCTGCTTTTTCATAAATAATTTCATAATTTTTTATTTCTATACTATTTTAATAAATTTTCGTTTTAAATTTAATTGTTCTATATATCTTTAAAATTTATTTCATTTACTTTTTGAAAAATAAATTCATTCATTTTGTTTCAGTATTGTTTCAGTAAGAGAATTTAGGATTATAAAAAATATATACTATAATTTATAAAAATAAATTATAAATTATATATAATATAAATATATTAAACATGATAATATAGATGATTATAGGAAATAGAAAAATTGAATAAAATATTTTCTAAAATTTTAATTTTATTTTTATTTTTGAAAATCTTTTATTGCATTAATGAACATTATTAAAGATTTATAAGAATTATACTTTAAAAATTATACGTTCAATTTAACAATTCAAGAACTTTATGATAGCTAGGAATAAAAATAAAAGAAGGGATAGGATATAATATTCAATGGAAGGTCTGGTTTCGTATATAAAAGAACATGGAGCAGATGTTCGACACAGATGTTCTTTTCTTTGTAGGGGGAACGAACGTTACGTATCTAAAATTGCAGAAGATTTGAGTAATATACTAATTCACTACAACAATTTTAATATTATAAAAAATTATTATGATAAATAACAAAACTGTAAAAAAAAATTTTAAAATATAATAAAAATAACAAGAAAATAAACATTAAATATTGAGTAAGAGCAAAGACTTCAATATCGTATCTAAAAAAAACTCACGTAAATATTCTCTGTCAGGAATGAAGGTCTATAGCTACCACTAAGTATTTGAATAATACATAACTCTAATCATGAATTCTAAGTTTTCCTATAGAAAATTGTTGCAATGAAAAATAAAAATCGAAGATTATTAACTCTCGATTCTATATATTTAATAATAATAATAATAATAATATTTGAAACTTATTAATTAATATAAATATATCGATTATATAATATAGGAAATTTTTTTAATAAATAAAATATATACATTTCTATAAAAAAATGAACATCGAGTTGCCACATTAGAAAAAATTTTGGCCCTAAAAAGGGCCGATTTGTTTTTAAAAAGCTACAATTAGGCTCTTTCTCCACGAATACGACGAGCCAACTGAATGTCCTTCGGCATGATTGTAACACGTTTAGCGTGAATTGCACACAGGTTAGTATCTTCAAATAAACCAACGAGATAAGCTTCGCTGGCTTCTTGAAGAGCCATGACAGCAGAACTCTGGAATCTTAAATCTGTCTTGAAATCTTGAGCAATTTCACGAACCAAACGTTGGAATGGTAATTTTCGAATTAGAAGTTCGGTGCTTTTTTGATATCGTCGAATTTCACGGAGCGCTACAGTTCCAGGCCTGTAACGATGAGGTTTTTTCACTCCACCGGTAGCAGGAGCACTCTTACGAGCAGCTTTAGTAGCCAATTGTTTACGTGGCGCCTTTCCACCAGTTGATTTACGAGCGGTTTGTTTGGTACGAGCCATTATTTCTTTAAACGAAACTAAAAACTTGCATAGATGCGTTCGATACGAAGATAAAACACAAAATGCGTTCGAGCAATAGAACGCTTCCCCTTTTATTGAGTACGATTCTCAGTTCGTACCTTCTGATTGGTCGAACGTCGAGTGGTGGGGAAACTGTTCTGCTGTCGGCATAAAAGCGCGTGCAAGCGAGCATTCGGCAGACATTGAGTTGTTGTTCATCGAGCTATACTGATCAAGTTTCATTATGACTGGCCGTGGAAAGGGTGGAAAGGGTTTGGGAAAGGGAGGAGCAAAGCGTCATAGAAAGGTTTTGCGTGATAACATCCAAGGTATTACCAAACCAGCCATTCGTCGTCTTGCTCGTCGTGGTGGTGTGAAGCGTATTTCTGGATTGATCTACGAAGAAACACGAGGTGTACTGAAGGTATTCTTGGAAAATGTTATCCGAGATGCCGTCACTTACACTGAGCATGCCAAAAGGAAGACTGTAACTGCCATGGATGTAGTTTACGCTTTGAAGCGTCAAGGAAGAACCCTTTACGGTTTTGGTGGTTAATTGGTGCTCCATCGCTGCATTTACAGAACAAACGGCCCTTTTCAGGGCCATCAAATTTCTCAAATGTATGGAATTCTCTCTATTTCAAATTGTTTATTATTACATCTTTATTATTATAATCTTTTGTGAATCGATGAAGTCGGTTTACTTGAATGAATTTTATTATTTCAATGTTCATATTTTTCTTATATTCAAAGATACCAATAAATATTATTCTTATATTCTATATTTTTTTATATATCTTTTTTGTTTAAACATTAATAAATAATATATATTATATTAAATATTATTTCGGTTTATAAACTTATTCTTAGAATAATGACGCATAATGCATTCCAAATATTAAATATCGTATGAATTACGATTTATAAAATGATAAAAAATGAATAGACAAGAGAATTTAAAACATTGATCTGAACTATATGAAAGCATTTTTATAAAATTATCTTTACTTTGTATAATATACATCTTAAAATATTTTATATTTTTGGAATAAAATTATTTTATATATTTTATATAAAATTATTTTATATTTTGTTTTTTTTAATTTATTATAAAAGCATTTATAATTTAGCCATTTTTTGTTTATGAATGAATTATTGTTAGTTACAATTAATATTTTTTTTTATTACATAAAATTAATATACACAATAACTGTAATCTTGTTTTCTAAGAATGTTATCAATAATATATGATTTTTTTATGATACATAATCTTGTTATATTTTTATCTCTATTATGTAGTATTGGGTGTGGCTATAATGAATAGTCGTTATTTATTACATATATTAATTTATTGTTATTACATATTAAACATTAATTAGAATTGATGTAGATAGTATTGAAAGCTGAAGATTAATAAAATAACTATCCTAAAATAACTATTTCTAAAGTTTTCATAGATTGTAATTTTAACCAATCAGAACATATATAACTAAATTTTAGGTTAGGTTGAACATTTTTAAATATATATAAATTTATTCATTAGAATTTTATATAAATTTGTATAATTTTGTATATCATTTTTTATATTTTTATTTAAAAATATAGAATAAATTCTAATCATTTAAACAATATCTCGAGAAAAGTCGATTTAAATTAAGAAAAATATTATCGATTATTGAATATTTGAATAATAGTGTTCTTTATTTGACAGCTAATACTTGTAATAACGTTAAATAGTTTTATCATAATGAATAAATGAAATTAGTCTTTATGAATGAAATTAATTTAATAAGTTCCAACAATCCTTGCATTTATTATTATATGTAATTTTTTTCTGATTTATATTGTATAAACTCGATTTGTACTGTCAGAGTTAAACATATTTTCTTTATGATGTAGGTTATGTTCAAATTTGATATTATATTCAAAATTGATTTAAAAAGATTAAGAAATTATATTTTAATACTATATTCTTTTTTTTAGCATATCGTTACAATAAATAATTGCTTACAATGTCAGATGACGAAGATTTAGTTTATGTTAAGAAACAAAAAACTGTTCATTATGGATCGCTTGAAGAAGCAGAGCGTGCTAGATTGGCCGCTGTGGCGGAATCCTCTGAAGAAGAAAAAGATACCACGACTTTGGGAGACAATGTCAACACTGTTGTTACATTGGCAAATATTCATATATCAAATGAATATATGGAATTGGAAGATGAAATGTCCAAAGATAGACAAGCTCTCTTAGAAGAATTTGAACGTAGAAAGAAAGCTCGTCAAATCAATGTATCTACTGATGATTCAGAAGTAAAAAGAAATTTAAGACAATTAGGAGAGCCTATTTGCTTATTTGGTGAAGGTCCTGCAGATAGGAGGACAAGATTAAGAGAATTATTAGCTAATTTAGGTGAAGATGCAATTAAGAAAAAACATGAAGAAGAGGAAAAACCTTCTCATCCAATTGAAAGGGATACAGAAACAACGTGGTATCATGAAGGACCAGAATCTCTTCAAATAGCACGTTCTTGGATAGCTAGTAAATATAAGATATTGTTATAATATATTAAAATTTTTTTTCATATCTTATTTTATATATGTGTAATATTTTTATTTATTTGATAGCATATTCATTGCCTAGAGCAAAAGCTAGATTGGACAAAGCAAGGCAGGATTTAGAATTGCCAACAGCCACACGTACAGCACGTCGTCAAGAACTTTTGAAAAAATTGCAAGCATTAACAATTTATTGTTCTCAAATTGGAGATACTAGACCAATTTCTTTTTGTCAATTCAGTCCAAATTCCAAAGTGCTTGCTACAGCTTCATGGTCAGGCTTATGTAAATTATGGTCTGTACCTGACTGTACTTTGTTAAGAACACTTAAAGGACATACTTGTAATGTTGGCTGCATTGTTTTTCATCCAAAAGCTACTATTATTGAAGAAGTGGTAGGAGAAAGAACTGGACAGACTTGTGTATTGGCATCCTGTGCTTCAGATGGTACGTAGACTTTCTTATTACATAAAAAATTATAATACGAAATACAATAGAATTCTTTTTTAATATATATAGGAACTGTAAAATTATGGAGTGGTGGATTTGGAGAGGAACCTCTAGCTGAAGTTGAAGGACATGAACCACACAGAGTTTCAAGATTAGCATTTCATCCATCTGGTAGATTTCTTGGAACATGTTGTTATGATGCATCTTGGAGACTTTGGGATTTGGAACAACAAGCAGAAGTCTTACATCAGGAAGGTCATGCTAGAGCTGTACATTGTATTAGGTAAAATATTTAAAATCATAATATATTATATTTACGAAAGACAATTGTTCAATTTTTTGTTGATTTCTAGTTTTCAAGGTGATGGCAGTGTAAGTGCCACAGGTGGTCACGATTCTTTTGGTCGAGTATGGGATCTTCGTACAGGACGGTGCATTATGTTTATGGAAGGCCACTTAAAATCTATTTTTGGCATTGATTTTTCTCCAAACGGATTTCATATAGCAACAGCAAGTGAAGACAATACTTGTAAAATATGGGATTTACGAAAAAGATCTTGTGTGTACACAATACCGGCACATACAAACCTTTTATCAGATGTAAAATATCAAAGGATAGAAGGACAATACCTAGTCACAGCATCTTATGACAATACTGCTAAAATATGGTCGAACAAGACCTGGCAACCACTTAAAACATTACCAGGTCACGATGGTAAAGTTATGTCTGTCGATATTTCTCCCGATCATAGATTCATTGGGACTAGTTCATACGATCGAACATTTAAATTATGGGCACCCGAAAATATGTAAAAAGACTTCATTGAATAAAAAATATAATTTTAATTAAAGAAAAATGTATTTCAAGAAGGCATTTTTGTACTATAGGAAAAGTAAACATATAAATAATAATAAACATATATTCCTTTTAATTAGGTGACTCATCTTATTGACTTTCTTTTTCTCTTTTTTTTTAAACTGTACATTGCTTTACCATAATATATTTAATCGTTTCCGATAAGAAATATTTACTATACAATAACAAAGAAAGAGAATTCTTTAACTATTCATGAAATTATTCTTGTAAATATTGTGATCGGACTCTGTACTCAAAAGTTTGCTGTCCGATTGCAGTTTTGCGTCATTGGTGATAAGCATAATTATACTTTTACTTTATTAACAAACTTGATGATAAATTTTCATAATAATCAAGTATTTAAATGTTTCTTCTTTCGATAAGACCTCATCTTGTATTTATAACAAATCTTTAAGAACGGTTTTATTCATATTTTTATAATCAAAAAGAAAAACTACAATGCAATAAAATTTAGAATACAAATACAAATTTATCGACGATATATTTGTATAATTTTAAATTAATCATACATATTACTTTGTTTTTATTTATCTTGAAGTTTTAGAACATTCTTTGGTTTATTAAAAAATAGGAAAGAATTATGTTTTGATGAATAGTAGAACATATTTTTCTAAAATTTCATTTCTGGCAGTACCTTTTCAAATAATACTCTATAAACAAAACTAGAATCACATAATAAATGTAATATTTATATCCTACAAATAATTGACATATTTTTATTCGTTTCAATTAATTTAATAACATTAAACATTATTAAACTAATAATGATTTGTGTGCGCGTGTGTGATTCTTTTATCGAATTAAAGAATCTTCGCGAAAGATAAATGTCATTATTTTTTGTGGAATCTTACACATTTGCATTTCTATTTAGTTAAATTTCTAATTATTTTTAAGTATTTGAACGGTGAGTGATTAAAAGTTAAGAAAAAGATATTTGTGATCTATAATCTTAATCGTTTTGCGATCCAATCGAAAATAGAACGATTTTTTTTTGATGATTCTCCTCGATGTAAAATCTTCCGAATCACGAAAGCGAAGATTCCAATATCTATAGATTGTTTCGACTTAATTCATTCAGATTCATTGAGAGGTAAAGATTGATGAAGCCAAACCTCACCACCCTCTCCAAAATCTGCAGCTGCATGACCATTACCTTGCAATACCCATTTTGTAGTCAACAATCCATCCACTCCCACTGGACCGCGTGCGTGAATTCGTGCGGTGGAAATTCCAACCTGTTGTAATTAGAAATTATAATATAAAAATTTATATTTTTTTTATTGAAAAACTGTATTCGAAAATATTTTGATTGATCTTTGAATTTATAATTCGTTTGATAATTAATGCTATTTTTTATTTAATAAGACATCAAGAAGAGTATAGATATCATCAGCTATAGATCAATTAAAATCATAAAAAATATCATAAAATGATCATGGAAATTTTTTCATCATAATGAAAAAATATTTTTTACTGTGCATACATTTAGACATTTTAGAGTCTTCTCATTTTATAATATAATTTATCATTTCTTGAACTTATCGGGAATAATATTCTTATCTTGCTTATCAAGAAGTGTTAAAGTAAAAATTGTTTTCAAATAAAAAAACCTCGTTCTTCCAATAATGACATGCTCTCGTTTATAAATACAATTTACTTTTATTATTTATGGCTTAATTATATCAACGCGTCAACCATCTTGTATGCAATATTTCAGTCTCTTCTTCGATTTCTTTCTCTGCGAGTAAAAAATTTGTAAAATCAAAATTTTTTAAAATTCTTTCTAAAGATTTCGATTTCTCAAATCTTGAAACTTCTTATTATTTATTAAAATTTATTAAAATTTATTAACATTTTAATTCTTGATAGATATAGAATATAGATATATAGATATAGAATATATATATATGTGTAGAATAGATAGATAGAAAAAAAAATTAAACGTTTCAAGAATTTCGAGTTTCGATAATTTTGGATTTGAGTTTTCTGAAATGAAAAATTTGTGTCTCAATCCATTTCTAATTTTAACTCACCTCGGCACCAAGACCGAATCTATAACCATCGGAGAATCGAGTACTGGCATTGTGAAAAACGCACGCACTGTCCACTTCTCTCTGGAAATAGGTAGCTTTTTCTTTATTCTCGGTAACAATGCAATCCGTATGTCCACTGCCATATTTGTGAATATGATTTATTGCATCCTCGATGTCTGATACGACCTCGATTGCACACTCAAGAGCGCCGTACTCGGTCTTCATACTTTTCGCAGCAGGTGGTCCGAATGTTAATTGTTTTCTCAGTTTCGGTCCGGAATTAACTTTTACCTAAAATATGATTACACACAATAATAACAATTCATTCCAATACCAATTATTATTTCCTTTATATCAAAGATACGAATGTCAAATTCTCTTATCGAATAATGAAATGAATGTTATTTTTTTATTCTTAATTTAAAACTGCAATGATAAAATGATTATTAAATATTAACTCTTGATCTTTGATCATTTCTATATAAATTATCGAATTTATACATTCGTGCCTCTGGAACGATATCTCATCATTAATTTTCTCACTCCTTCCTTTTGCAGCATACTGCACACATCGTTGAAAAAGCTACTCTTCATATGACTTTCGTGAATAAGCAATGTCTCCATAGCGTTGCAAGCAGCAGGATAATCGCATTTCGAGTCTCTGATGATCTTTAGAGCTTTAACAAGATCCGCATCTCTATCCACATACACGTGACAGATACCTTCCGCGTGTCCCAATACGGGAATGTGTTTCGATTGTTCCTGAATGCTGCGAACAAGGTCTGAACTACCTCGAGGAATTACGAGATCTATGTGTTTTCCCATCGACAGTAAATCACCGACGTCCTCCCTGGTCGAAATTAAAGATATCGCGTTGGCAGCACCAACCGGGCCCAGCGCTTCCTTCACCAACTCCATTAAATATTTATTGCTGTTTGTCGCTTCTTTGCCTCCTTTTAGAAGGAGGCCATTGGCACTGGACATGGCTAATGCGGCTACCTGAGGTAAACTATCGGGCCGTGATTCAAAAATCACTAACAATACACCGATGGGTACAGTTATTTGTCTCAATTCCAGACCCTCGGCCAATTTTGTCCTTCTGAGCACGCGACCCACGTTCGTTAAGGAATCATTGGCAATTTGTCGTAAACCAGAGCTCAAAGATTTCAGTTTGGCGGGTGTTAACGAGAGACGAGAAAGTAAAGCTTTCGCCAGACCAGTTTTCTCCGCAGCCTCGAGATCCTTTCTGTTAGCTTCCAATATTTCTTTTTGCCGTGATTCGAGAAGATCAGCTAACGCGTTGATACAGGTTGCTCGTTCCTCTGGTCGAAGAGCTTGCAATATTCGACTTCCAGTTCGAGCTGAAAATATATAATTATATGTATGTATTCAAGTTTGTATTTTATAAAGGATGATTTTATGAATATTACAAATATATTTCTCACGTAATAATCGATCAGTCAGTCACAAAATATTATTGATATCATTGATAGATCATTGTAGAAGGTAACATCTATAGATTAGATATCTTTTGATTTTGAGTATTTTGAACATTACTCGCAATGAAAAATGTTTCATAAAAAATTTTTATTAAATAAACGTTGAGAAAAGTATTATTAATTCTTTCGTGAATTTCAACTTTAATTTTTTAAATGGAATATATATTTTTTACACATTTGAAAGAATTAATAACATAAATATATATACCATTTGTTATATGTACCGTTATTCAACTTTTATTTGAAATATTTTTCGCTGAGTAATGAGTAATATTATTAAGAAAACTAGATACCGTTAAATACCGTAAGATACCGTTACTGTATAAATAGAGGTACAACCATAAAATAGGGTTGTAACCGAGCAAAGAATTATTCTAGGTAAGAAGGGTAATAGAAAGGGTACCGTTATAACGGTATCTATTATTTAGAATTAATTATACCTTAAAAGGTTTTGACCTGGAAACGAAGTGTCCAATGTCATTTATTAGGATATTAATTATTTTTTATACCTGAATTCTAAATATCAAATCTGAATTATATTCTGAACACTTGAATTTAAAATCATAAGTAGTAAATAAATAAATCAAAAATATTGCTACTAATATTTTCTGAGATTTATTTTTAAACAGCTTTTATTGCAATGCAATAAAGCAATAAAAATTACGGTTGTTAGATACATATAATTATTCTTGAAAGAAATACAATCTTGGTAACGCATCGGCTATTCAATCGATTTCTTTCGAACTGTAAAGAACATATCAAATAAGTTTTAATGGAATCTGATTCTGATAAAAATTACTCGAAGTAGTAACGAGAATGGAAATATATTTTCATTCAAAGAAGCTCCTAAAAGAATATTTAACTATTTTTCTTTTCACTTACTTTTTCAATGGCCAACCATGTTGACCAAAAGTTGTTCTAACTGAATATACTTTACACGAACAACGTGACATTTTTCTATATCTTAGAAGAGCGCGGTATGTGTCGCGGATAATTGTACAATGGCCACGATACAGCAGCCGGTAAGCCGTTTCATTTCTGCCTTCGATAATCGATGACCTATATTGCTATGGTCGGTAGAACAAAATGACGCTACTGACCGATACCTTTACGAAAAAAACTACCGCGTGCAAACGCAATAATCTCGATCGACTTTTTTTTTTTAAATAAAAACAAAAAAAGATCGATCTCATAGATTGGCTCATGGATTGAAAATAAAACTATTTAAGCAATTTTATATTCGATATTTATAGAATATTTTCAAATAACTTCTTATTATTTTTACTCCACAAATGGATATTTTTTAAATCTTTTTTAATATTCAAATAATTTGAATCAGTCGATTTCCCTCCTTTACCGATACAAGGTAAAGAAAATGCGGAATAGCAATATATTAATTAAACGCTTTAAAATATGCAGAAATGCAATAATATTAAAATAAACGAGTGTCAAAACTTATTAAAAATGACAATAGCGATTCTCTGAAAAACTTCGTAATCCTCTTGTGAATTTGCAATGTACAA